TATACATATATGTGTAACTGTACAGTTGCAGCAGGTTAAGTAAGTTGAAAGTCTTTATAGGTTTAGGTTAGTGTCTACGAGTATGTTGAATGTTACTTCTAGAGCGAAATGTTGTTGACGTTTGTCGATTGGCACATTGAAGCAGATGAAACATTGAGTGCAATAATATATTAGTTGAGTTGTCTCTTGGAGGGCAAACTGATCACACAAGAATAGTATATAGAAATAAATGCCTATATATTTGCAATTAATTTGTTTCCGCGTGAGCTGCGAGTTTTTCTTCTTATGCAATTTATTTAGCCACGGCTGGATTATCCGTAAGCAAACACAATATAAACGCGCACAAAACAAAAGCAATAATCCACGGTTAAGAAAAGAAAAAAAGAAAAATTATTAACACACACATATCGGCATATGAATTAAGGTGCATTTCAGAATGAATTTAATAATGATTTTTAAAAAAAGGGAATTTTTAATTTAGCAATTTAATATTTATTCAAAACTTTATAATAAAGTTGAGCACTTATTTAGAGAAAGCCCAAAATGTAAATATATATACTTAAAACTGTATTAAATATAAAATTAATAAACAAGAACAAAGAAAAATGGAAAATAGACAAAAATCAATTAAAAATATATAAATCCAAATATTTCAAGCATTAATGTACGACACAAAACGCATTAGTTTAAATTAAAAACTGTGAATATATTATGATTAAAGAGCAACACATATATTTTAAGTAAAAACTATACACAAAAACACACACACACACACACACACACAAGCTCAAAAAAATTACCAACAAACACTCACATAAAAACTAAAAACAATAAATGAAAATAAATTAACAAAGATGCAAAAAAAAGCACAAAAGCCGTGCCAAAATGCTTTTACTGCAGCAAGCACCGCAAAAAACTGCAGCCAAGGGGCTGCGGCCGGCCAAGGGTGAGGTGTCAGGGGAGCATGTGTTGGGGGTAGCAGTGTGCAAGAGAAGAGCGCGAAACGCTTTTGCCGCACAGCTATTCGCGTCTGGCGCCCAAAAGTATGCCGCGCAAATATGTGAGCATGAGCTGAGTGAGCAGTCGTGTCCATGGGCGCCTGTCACGCCCATAAATTATGCTTATGTATTTAGGGCCTCAGGCGATGAATAACTAATTTATAGGGTATATACATACGTAGCCCAAGGACACAAACGCAATCGAGACTCATAATTGTCAATGGTTAGCGAAACACTTAAGGAAACTCTAACGTCCCTCCGCCTCACCGATAACAGAAGTTAATTAATTTGCACAAATCTGAGGAAGTTAAGTGAGTTAAGTTAAGCTTTCAGACAACTGAGCTGAGCTGAGATGACTAGGGCCTGGATCAGTTCCAATCAAGTTAATTTACTTCTACACAATCAAGCAATATGTGAATGATAATGGAATATGAAAAGGAAATCTAACGATAAATGAATCGATTTGAGGAATGTTTGCTCAGATTGTTTCGCTATTGTGATGTATATATCTGGCGTATACATACCTATATACATATGTATATACCTTTTTATACCCTCAACCCATTGAAAATGTTAAAAGCATGTAACGGACAGAAGGGGGCGTGGCAGACCCCACAAAGTATATATATTATTGATCTTGATTTGGCCCTGTCCGTCTGTCCGTCCATCCGTCTGTCCGTATGTATGAATGCGTCGATCGCAGACGATATAAGAGCTAGAGACTTGAAATTTGTTTTTCTCTAAATATCAATAACTACTCCCGATATATCAAAAACTAGTTATTTAATTATATCTCCTACACCTGTAGAGCTAGAGTCCCCAAATTTTACATTTTACCCCCATCCCTATATTCACCCCCTCACTCACACCTTTGTAAAAGGCGTATTTCAAAAACTAGAGACTTGTGCTTTGGCAAATGCATGCATGCAACAAGAAAAGTTAAGTTCCCATAATGAGCCACCACTGCAGTGCACTGCAGCCAATGCGTGTTTATGCGTGCGTGTGTATGGCTGTGTGTGTGCATGTGAATGATTACTGAAATATCAGTTGCTCGAAGGGTTCAGGGGATCTCGTAGTCGAGCAGTCTCGACTAGAGCTTTCTTACTTGTTTATTTTAATATTACATTGTGTTTTGAATAATAATACAATTACTAAGTCATTTCTACAGAGATATTAACACTAAGACATATGTACGTCACGTGTTAATATGAAATATTGTTTTTGGGAAGAATAAATGGCAATTCAACTGTGTTTAGTAATTCGAAATGTATTAGAATGAGAACAGAGAACAGAATACCCATGGCTGCCTTTTCGAAAGCTAAAATCCTTCAATGAATTGAAATGAAAGGCAAATGTATAATGAACATATGATATATCGGATGGCAATCCACAGGAGAACGCAGGTTGTTTATTAATACGAATGGTATTTTCGGTTGAGTATTCTGCAAAGCACACGTTGATTAATTGCCACTCGTTTGCAGGGGCACGCCAAACTGAGCATCATTCAAATGATTGGCAAACGAAATCGTGTTGAGGGAGAGCCGTGCCTCATTGGCACTTAGAGCAGCGGGGCAGAGAAATGCATTTCAATTTAAGTATCTATGAAGTTGAAGCCGACTATTGCGACTACCGAAATTGTGCAAATCAATATGAAGCGAGGTGCCGAGCAGAGACTATTACCTGCATTCAGGTGAGAGAGCGGCGGCAACTGTCCTCCAACTGCCGGCCAATGCAGCTCAAATATTTACGTTCCATTTAAAGTGCCTGAGATAAAAACAACAAGTATACAAGTCTGCTACTGCTTGACCTATAGGTGCACAGACACACATACACGCATTCGCACACCTACATAGTTCTACTACCTAGAGCCAAGCCATTTTCAACTTCGTTTGTAGGCGAAACGCATTTCTGACTGTTCTCTCATATCTGTGAGAGTGTGTGTGTATGTGGGCGGATGTGTGTGTGTTTTAATTTAAAGTCATATTTTGGACTGGTTGAACTACACCAATGCTCATAATGTTGTGCCATTGGTTGCCCAAAGCTATTTTCCGGGCATTGCAGCGTGCTTGAGGCAAAGCAACTGAGCCACTCGTTCCTCTTCTTCTTGATGCTGCCTCAGAAAACAATTTCGAGTTGCCTGTTTTTTAGACTTCTTTATCTTTTTTTGTGGTGCGTTTTAATTGATTGAAATATCTTTGTGGTAAACGGCAAGTGACTGCCCAAATACTTAAAAGAACGAGAGAGAGAGAGAGAGAGAGAGGGAGGGAGGGAGGTAAGTGGCTACGGTGGTAGAGGGAGAAGGAATGTGTGGGATATTATTGCCAGCTCCCTTGTGGCTCTGTTTGCCTGTCTATTCTCAATACTCTTTCACCGTCTGGTGGCTTAAGCCACGCTTTTTTATTCCTCTTTAGCGACATCAGAGCGATTACAATTGTTGTTGTTTTTTCATGTTTCCGCTGCGACTAATCTGCAATTATGTTTTACATACAATAAAAAAAAACCCAAAAAAAAAAAAAACAAACAAACAAACAAACAAAAACGTATCTCATGCCGCCAAACAAAAACAAAAAACACAACAAAAGTTTTTAGGTAAAGTTTTGTCGAGTTTGCTAGACTGTTGAACTCTCGACTAGCTACTTGATTGTTTGCTTGTTGTGATAGTCATGAAAAAGCGAGAAACGAAAATGAATAAAACTGGCAAAGCCAGCTGCAACAGCAATAGCATCAACTGTCAGATGGCCAACAGAGCGTATGTGTGCTTTTTAGTAAGCGGAACTGTTTGTATTGTTGCAATTGTTGCAGTTGTTGCTTTAGCATCGTGTACAAATCAAAGTTAATTAGAGAACGGCGCGCGATTACAAACTATTGCCGTTAGCAGCAGTACAGCAGCAGCAACAAGAGCAGCAACTTTTGTCACACAACAAAATTTGTGCACGAATTCGCATTGTGTTTAGACAATTGTTGAGCTTTGAGAATTGCTTAAACTCTCGTTTAACTAAGCACATAACTATTAGTTATTGGTGTCATTGTTTTTCAGACAACAGCAGTTAAAACTAACACATTCCCTTAAGTGGCAGCAAACAACAAATTTGAGACAATGCAACATTTATATAAAAATCGAAGCATGTAATCCTGTTGCAGCTTTTAACATGTTGAGCCGAGGCTGAATCGCTTTACTGACAGACTCTCGAAATATTGACAATAAAGTTCCCATAGTAAGCCACCACTGCAGTGCACTGCAGCCAATGCGTGTTTATGAGTGCGTACGTATGCCTGTGTGTGTGCGTGTGTGTGTGCATGTGCGAATAATTATTGAAATATCAGTTGCTCGAAGGGCTCAGGGGACTTCGTAGTCGGGCAATCTCGACTAGAGTTTTCTTACGTGTTTTTATTGAATAATAGAAGTGACGAAATTACGCAATTCATTAGTGTTTCCATGGAGCAGAGGGATCAAGTTTGTCTCAAATAATCAATAAATTGTAAATTAAATCTGCCTAACAAATACTCCTACTAGTTTCTGCTGAGTGCCTTACTCATATCTCTATAGGAGACTTTATTTATATATTTAATTATA